CTTGCTGGCTGGGGAATTCTGGGAATTGAAGTCCACACATCTGAAAGCTACCAAGGTTGAGAAACACCGCTGTATAAGGAACATTTGTTCTTGAACCTGAACAAGTGCTAGAATTTTATCTTGATGGCCGCCTCAATTTTCTTCCTTAAAAATTACTGGTCAAAAGTTATTTCATGTTTCTGAGCCTGGCCAGTTGGTCCCAGTCGTGCCTGTGGGGTAAAGCCTGACAAGAGACTCCATTTCCCACCCAGCTGGACTGTCTTGTTTCCATCTGGGATGTCCACCTTGGTTTGCAAACTAGATACTCGCTCGGGGGTGCTAATAAAAAAAGCTGTGTATTTGCATATAAAAATTTTCAGGTTTAGTATCGTAACTTCACCCTATAATTGATGGAGCTGGCCTGTTTCAGTAAACTTCCATGAAGACTGAGATTAAGATTCCAGTTAAAATGAAGATGAAGTTTCTAATTAAGATTACAGCTGAAACTAAAATGACGATTCTGGTTAAGATTATAGTTAAGATGAAGACAAAGTTTCTGATTAAGACTCTAGTTTAAACTAAGATGAGGATTCTGGTTAACATTATACAGTAATTAAGATGAAGACAAAGATTCTGGTTAAGATTATAGTTAAGATAAAGAAGATTCTGATTAAGACTCTAGTTAAGATGAAGACAAAGATTCTGATTAAGATTATAGTTGACAAAGATTCTGATTAAGACTAGTTAAGATGAAGACAAAGATTCTGATTAAGATTATAGTTAAGACAAAGAAGATTCTGATTAAGACTAGTTAAAATGAAGACAAAGATTCTGGTTAAGATTATAGTTAAGATTCTGATTAAGACTCTGGTTAAGATGAAGACAAAGATTCTGGTTAAGACTTTTGTTAATATGAGGATTCTGGTAAAGACTATAGATAAGACTAAAATTAAGTCAAGACATAAATTGCATTGAGACACTCTCAGAATCCAAATGCAGCCCCAGTAATGGGTAATTCTTTGCCTTCAGAAAGAAAACATTGTTTTTTCCATTTTTGCTTGTCCTGTTGCCGAAAGAAGACAGTTCTCTCTGCCCTGCAGTGAACTCTTTGGTTATTACCCTTCTCTTCCCCAGGTTTAAAGATTTCTACGAGTTCGAGCCGCACAAGTTCCAGAACAAGACGAACGGCATCACGCCCCGTCGGTGGCTGGTTTTATGCAACCCTGGCCTGGCTGAGATCATCGCCGAGGTGAGCCTGCAACTGGACACCCGCCCCGCAGCGGTCTGTTCTTAGTTCATCCCCTAAATATTCTTCGTCGGCAGATTTGTGGACGTTTTCAGCTTGCGAGTGATGGAGGGTAAAGATGGACGGATCGATATACATTTATTTACGACCTGTCTTAATAGCCATTTTCTGCTCCGGTTTTTAGTAGATTTCCTTCTTTAAAAAAGCATCCATTAAAAAGCCCACATCTGTTTCCATTGGCAGTTTTCCCTAATATTGATCTGTTTATTTATATCCTACTTTTTCTTGAAAGGGCTGAGGAGAAGGTCCAGGCAGCTGGACGGAGAGAAAGTGATCAGCCCAAAGTTATCCAGTGATGCATCCTGTGATCAAGGGAGGGAGTTAGACATGAATACCTTAGTCACTAAACTATTTACCTGCAAAGGTTTTATAGACGCCTTTCCCAAATATCTGTTTTGACCATAAATTCCCCGTCCTACTTTCCTTTAAATGGCAGGCAGCTTACAGCAATAAATTAAATTAAATTAAATTTGCAAACTCTGTCTAAGATGCTAAGCCATGTTCCTTGCATTTTGAGTTAGGGTCTTGTCTGAACCAGCCCATTATACCTTATCAATCATGTTTAATGTATAGCCAGACCATTCTGGTTTATTCCACGAACAGTGGTTATAAAAGCATGGCAGCGGACTGCTTCAGCCTGGGACTTTTCTCCTTTCTGTGTCTTGAAATTTGCATTCTCAGCAGACGTTCTTCAGTGGCTGCTACTTACCGAAATATCCCTATTTGAATCTGTGCAGTTGGACCCGTGCTTCCTTTGACCCCCAAAAGCACAGCCCCTACTTTTGGGTGGTGTGGAAAAAACACTCTGCCCGTGCTTGAAGGCATTTTCAGTTGTTGGATTTGATTTTTGACTATCCTGGGTATCAGATACAAAGATGCTGAAATTTTCCTGGAGGAGAGATGAGTTTTTGGGTTTTTTTATTTTGTTTTTAAAGGCTCATTTGATAGGTAAAACATGGCTAAACGTGAGGCATATGCGGTGCTGGATCGAGAGACCCGGCTGTGAATCCCTTGGCCACGGCTCTGACTTTGCTTTCTATAACCTCCTCTCTAGCGCATTGGGGAAGATTACATCTCTGACCTGGATCAGTTGAGAAAACTGCTCAACTTTGTGGATGACGAAGCCTTTATCCGGGATGTGGCAAAAGTCAAGCAGGTGAGACGGAAGAGCGGGGTGGGAAGATGCTCCCGCCAGGCTGGCCCCAGATGTCCCGTTTCGGCTGTTCTCCTGGCTGCCTCCCCTCTGCCTTGGGCTCTCCTTTCTTGGGCTGAAACTGGAATTTCAATTCTGTCCAGGCAGTGGGGTCCATCGGGGGATGCATATTAAAATGGTATCAGCCCCACTAGGTAAACTGGACCAGGGAACTAAAACTACTTTTATTGAGATCGGCTGCAAAAGCAGAATCTTGCAAGTCGGATTGTGCTGGGCCTCCTCCTTCCCCTTCATCTACTCCAATGCAGTGTTTCTCAACCTTGGCCCCTTTAAGAGGAGTGGACTTCAACTCCCAGAATGGCTGGCTGGGGAATTCTGGGAGTTGAAGTCCACTCCTCTTAAAGGGGCCAAGGTTGAGAAACACTGCTCCAGGGAATCAGGGAGGTGCCTGTCTGAGCCACTTCCAAATGTTATCTCACTCCACTGGACTTAAAAAACGTTTCAGCCTGCGTGTCTCCACCCAGAACATCTTCCTTACTCACTTAGGTCAGAGCTTCAACCGCATGGTTGTAGCCGCCCTCCTGACTTTTTTGACCCCCCTCCATGGACCCTCCTACATTCAGAGGCTGCAGATTGTATAAGAAACTGGGGTACCCCTTGGCAACCCACTTCAGAGCCATTTGATCCCATCTCCCACTCCCTCTCCAGCCTGGGTGGATGCTCAGGGGTCTCACTTCAGAACAGCTTGCTTCGCTTGAGCGCCAAGCTCCTTGCAACAGCAAGAGCAAAGAGCCGAATTGGGCCCCCGGAAACACAAAACACAGATCAGCGCAACCTTAGCAACGCTGCGTACGCCAATTTTCATGCAGAGGTTTACTGTTTTTGATGGATTGATTTAAAGCATGTAGATGGCTTCAGTTCAAGGTGCTAGTTTGCACCAGATTTGAAAATAATTGCCAGGGTATAAATAGCAATGTGCGTCTAAAAAAAATCTCACCTTAGCGGGGAAGATGGCCAGCCACGTGCCTTCTGCTGCTCACGTGCTGGGAGGAAAGTTGAGCCTGACCAGCTTGGTCTGGGAAGAATGAGGACAACATTCTGCAAAGCCCCAAACTGTGTTTTTTTTCAAATTTGTATAAACAAAACGTTTTTGAAGCTGCAGATTAAACAAAAGTTGATAAAGGAAAAAGAAAATCGATAATGCACAAGGCCAACCATCTGAGAGCGTACATTATTAATACGGTTGCCGTCTTAAGGAGAAATAAAGTGAGGATCAGTCTCCGTATTCAATATTTCTGCCCAAGGAAATGATTTCAATCGATGCTGATAATCTATGAGGGATTATTTTGCGGATACAACCGAAGTGGGGATTTTTTAGTTATTTCCCATTGATTTTCAGAAGAAAAAAAATGAGTGAGGCTTTGATGGATTTTGACCTATTTCAAGATGGTGCGGAAGGACAAAAGGCCAAATGGCGAATTTCCCAGCTCAAAACCTTCCAGTAACCGATTTTTGTAATAGGGACCCAACCGCGCTCCTTCCCCTTTGAAAATATGAATGGAAAATGTCCTCCCAAATGTTCTCCTGGCTTAGGAGGGGTCGGGCAGGTCTTGCACTGGTGCTCCCTGGCAGGGATGGCGGAAGGTGAAGATCTCTTCAGGGCAGGGATTGCCATGACTTTCCTCCTCCGCTCAATCCCCTTCCTTGCCTCGCTCCCCCTTTTTAGGAGAACAAGCTGAAGTTCGCTGCTTACCTGGAGAATGAATACAAAGTCAAGATCAACCCCAACTCCCTTTTCGATGTGCAAGTGAAACGGATTCACGAGTACAAGAGGCAGCTACTCAACTGTCTGCACGTCATCACGCTTTACAACCGTGAGTGCCGGCGACTGGCTGCAGCTGCGCGGCAGCCAAATGGGGGGAAGACGGACCCCCTTGCTCAGGGTCCCCCCATCCTTTTTTTGGCATCGGTTGGGTTTGGCAGCCTCCAGCTGAAATTCAGCTACTGGGTAACCAATGCTCCTTCTCCTTCTCCTTCTCCTTCTCCTTCTCCTTCTCCTTCTCCTTCTCCCTCCCTTCCTCTTCCTCTTCCTCTTCCTCTTCCTCTTCCTCTTCCTCTTCCTCTTCCTCTTCCTCTTCCTCTTCCTCTTCCTCTTCCTCTTCCTCTTCCTCTTCCTCTTCCTCTTCCTCTTCCTCTTCCTCTTCCTCTTCCTCTTCCTCTTCCTCTTCCTCTTCCTCTTCCTCTTCCTCTTCCTCTTCCTCTTCCTCTTCCTCTTCCTCTTCCTCTTCCTCTTCCTCTTCCTCTTCCTCTTCCTCTTCCTCTTCCTCTTCCTCTTCCTCTTCCTCTTCCTCTTCCTCTTCCTCTTCCTCTTCCTCTTCCTCTTCCTCTTCCTCTTCCTCTTCCTCTTCCTCTTCCTCTTCCTCTTCCTCTTCCTCTTCCTCTTCCTCTTCCTCTTCCTCTTCCTCTTCCTCTTCCTCTTCCTCTTCCTCTTCCTCTTCCTCTTCCTCTTCCTCTTCCTCTTCCTCTTCCTCTTCCTCTTCCTCTTCCTCTTCCTCTTCCTCTTCCTCTTCCTCTTCCTCCCCTCCCTCCCTCTCTCCCTCTTCCTCTTCCTCTTCCTCCCTCCCTCCCTTCTCTCCCCCACCACCCTCCTGGCACTGAATGACCAAGGGCACCGCACTCTAAGCTCAGATCCTTTCAATCTTGTAAATGACTTTTTTGTGGCTTAACATATTGTGGCAGCCCAGGCTGTTTGTTTGTGTGCTTGTTGTCAGATTTACATCCCGCTTTTATTTTACTTTGTCCGATTTAAGGCCCCACCTCCTCTTTTCCCCACCACAACCCTGTGAGGTGGGGTGGGCCGAGGGAGACTGACTCAGCTGGCTTCCATGCCTAAGGGGGGACTAGAACTCACATTCAGCCGGTTTCTAGCCCAGCACCTTAGCCCCTGCACCAAACTGGCCCTCAGAAATAGCAAAGAAATTAGTTCATAGTTTTACGTCTTGCGTGAAGCCAGGATGTGGGAGAGTGCAGGACTTCTGCCTAAGTTGGTTGTGTGAATCCTGCCTTTGAAAGGATTTGCAGGGAGAGACTGGAAACTGAAAGAGAAGCAAACTGGGGAAGGCTGAGGATCCTGGAAGGTGCTGTGAGGGGAGCAAGGTGGGACTCTGCTCCCGGGATTGGGGGAGCCAAACCCTACAGGGCATCGCTTGGGACCGGCCTTTGTCTCTCATCCGCCTTCCTTCCCCCCAGGCATCAAGAAAGAACCCAGCAAGCACTTTGTGCCCCGTACGGTCATGATTGGAGGCAAGGTGAGAATGGGAAGCAACAGGGCAGGGCTGGGGAAGATGGGTACTGGGATATTCGAGGCAGAGGCGCATGGGGGGACACAGAGAGAACAAGAAACGCGGGCGTCCGCTTGGTCTCTTGGTGTCTGCCCAAAGCCGAAAGGAATTCCTTTTTCCTAGCATAGTTCTCAGGGTCTCTTTAGGAAGATCGATTAAGAAAAAACAGATTCGGTTACAAGAATTCCAGCCTCCAACTGAAATATTTTCCATCTCCAATATCTTCCAAAACACGGAATATATTGAAGCTTGCCTCATTTGTTTTCTGCTGAATGGGGGAACCAGGATGTCTCTTTACGGATAACGGGGATGCGTTTTTGGTGGCTGTTTCTACAACCGTCTCCTGCATCCTTCCCAATTCAGGAACCGGTCCTTCCACACCCATTTCTTTAGATTTTTGATCCATCGTCCGCCTCCATCGGTACGGTCTGCTTCCGAACAGAGATCTTTCCTCCAGCTGGTTGCCTGCTTGTTCTCATTCCTTTATTGTTTTGTCCATCGGGCTTCAATCTAGCCAACTTTATGCAGTTTACAAAGCAATGCAAATACAAAACAGCCCTAAATAATACAAGGAACAGCAGCAGGTGCCTATTACAGTAAGCTTACCCTAATTCCAGTCCTAATTACCGTCATTAAGCAAGGACTATCTCGTCTCGCCTGGCCCGAGGAGCGTGGATTGACGGAGGCATCTTCCGTCAGCAACGTGCAGCTCGTGGCCTGTGTCGTTCCCAGACGCCCGCCCGCGATGATCTTGTTCAGCCAGCCTTATTTTGCAGCTTCCTGTAGTGAGAGCAGGGCCTTTCGGTATAAGCCCTGCTGTTCAAAGGAAGAGGATCATTTCTGTCCCATCTCCCTGTCCACTTCTGGAACACAGCCTACTCGGCAAGGGGCAAATTCTAGCCCGTGGTGCACAATGGTTGCCCCTCCTGATTTAATTCGGAGTGCCCGCAATGGGAGTGAAGGGCCTCTCCCTTATATAAATAAACCAGATTATTGTGGGTCAATTGTTCTATCTAACCCAGTGTTTCTCAACCTCAGCAACTGTTAGATGCGTGGACCTCAACTCCCAGAATTCCCCAGCCAGCCATGCCGGCTGGGGAATTCTGGGGGGTGGAGTCCACTCAACTAACAATTGTTGAGGTTGGGAAATACCTAACCCAATATTCTCTGCTCCAGAAGTAGAACATAAGTTTTGGAAAGGATGCTCTGATCACCTGCTCCCTGTTCCTGTTACCTGGAGACGCCAGGCATTTCCTTGCACACGCTCTGTGGGCAAAGCAGGTGCTTTTCCTCCAAGCTAGTGGCTGTCCTCAAAAGGAGGTTA